CCCCTGGTTTTTAGTCATTCTTATTTTTCCATTAAAAAAAATATGCTTGGGGCACCTGAGTGGCTCAGTAGGTTAAGTGTCCAACTCTTGACTTTGGCTCAGGTCATGACCTCTCAGTTCATGGGATCGAGCCCTGAATGGGGCTCTGTGCTAACAATGTGGAAACTGCTTGGGATTCTCTGTCTCCCTGTCTCTCTGCCCTTCCCCCACTCCTTCTCATCTTCTCTCTCTCAAACATTTTTTTAAAAATTTTAAAAATAAAAAGTATGCTTTATAACCAGTCTCTTCTTTATTGGAGTAACTATCTTATTCTTCACAGCATGGTTATTCTTTTAGAACAATAGATGGCTACCTTGAACCATTGTAGGGGTTGGGCGTTGGTGACAGGTGTGGGTTTTGTTTTGTCAAGATTTGTTTTACTACGCTATTTTTAGGATGCCACAATTTTTAGGCCTCTCCATCTACCCTATAATTGTGGTTATGGTGGTTTCCTGTGTCTTAGTTCAGTTTTGCAGTAGTCTCCAGAAAAGACCCTTACACAACATTTCACTCTGTTGTCTAGAACTGATTCGATTTTAGAGATCGGAATCGGAATCGGAACAAGAGCAGAGGAAGAAACATATATACAACTGGGACCATAAAATGGATAGGGAAGAGCTGATCATGTTGTATCGCCCTTAAAATGTTTGTCTTCCTTATTTACTGTGTCCCTAATACAAGCATTTAATGTCATTGGCGAATTAAAAGATGGTAAATTTAGAATGTGTAGGAGGGGTGACACTGCCGATCAGCCACATTTGGGGGTACAGAGTACATCCTAACTAGCCCTGGTTCTCTTGCAGACTAAAGAACAGCTGTGTGTCTTTTCTCCCGTCACGTTCACATTCTGGGCAGAGGAAATTGTGTTTTCACTTATCAAATAAAAGTCCGCTTACTGGATTGTAAATCAGACCCATTGGCGTCAAGTACAAGTTTTGAAATGTTCTAAGGTCTTTTTTTTTTTTTTTTTGTTCTAAGGTCTTTTGAAAACTCTTCTCAAAGACAATTTATTTCCATTTCTAAATAACCACGTAATGGTGTGTAAGGTTTCCCACCACTACAATCACCCTGTTTTCCCCCCATTGTCACCTATAAAGAGAGCTGCATTATGTTAAAATTCTTTCTTGACAGGGCAACAGACCCTTGGTGCAGGACTTTTGGAAATACACCCCCCTTCACATGTTCGTCAGTCTCAGTCCCCTGCTAGCTTCAGATCTGATCCACAAGTTGGAGCAGCCCACGGATATATCTGCCAATTACCCATGGTTGCATGTATCCATATCTATAAAAGGCAGTGAGTGGGACCCTTTGGCCAAGGTGCTAAGACTGTTTGATCCTTGCAGTTATTAGGGAACCTCGTTTTTTTTTTCAAGGATCATATAAAGTGGGCAGAATTTGAGGAGCATAATCAAATTCGGGGCTGGTTTTCCTTGGCAGAATTCTTCCAGCTCTGGACAGCTAATGTGACACAGGTGTTTCTCATGACAGATCCGGTGTCGGCGCACCGGTGATTGGCGAGATTGATGGCGAGTATCGACATGACAGTCGACGAAATACCTTGGAGTGGTGCCTGCCAGTGATTGATGCCAAAAATAAGAGTGGCAGCCTCGAATTCAGCATTGCTGGGCAGCCCAATGATTTCTTCCCTGTTCAAGTCTCTTTCATCTCCAAAAGAAACTACTGTAACATACAGGTACCACCTTTTAAAAGCACGTAACGGGGAAAGTGGTGGGACAGATGCCAGATAGGCAGCATGGGATCAAAAATCAGAAAAGTTGGGCGCGTGCTTGGCTGGCTTAGTAGAGCATGCGACTGTTGATCTTGGGGTTGTGAGTTCAAGTCTTACATTGGACCTAGAACTTACGTTAGAAAAAAAAAATCAGAAGAGCTGGTCTTACTGCAGATTACATTATTGACTCTCATTGAATGGTCTTGGTCAAATTCTTCTCCTGTTTTAACTCAATTTTCCTCTCTAGATTGGACAAGGTCAAGGAATTGAATATGAATATATATAAAAGTATTTACGGATTGTGCACGATTTAGATCTCTTAGTTTCCTGCTTTTCTAAATAATCTCATATATTTTTAAAACCTTTTACCAAAACATGCAACCCAAGGTTTTCTTATCCCTTTTATATGCCACTCAGTTTGAACACAAGGAAGGAAAGTTTATTTGGAAGGCAAAATTACTTCCTCTCAAAAGTGATTCTAATACAAATGGATACAATATTTGGATTTTTTGTGTTACTGCATCCCTTCGTTAGTACAGATAATCATCAACCAATTCTGTTACCAACTTTGCCCTTTAGATAGGCAAAGCAAAGGAAATTTGCGAGCTGTTTCTTTAGATCGTTATTTTTAAGTCCTTGTTACTCCAGTTTTTGAAGTTGCATTACAAGGGCCCGGTTCATATTGTCATTGTTCCCTCTGACTTGGTGATTTGCTTGTTATTGTGGCACTATCTTATCTTCCCAGATGGTCTCTGGCTCTCCTCTAAGTATTTGGGAGATTACAGTTTCCTTCCTGTGTTGGATCATTTTAAAAAGCAGTTCTCTCTCCACTCTTAATTATAGGCATAAGGCTATCAATATTGGGAGCATGTGGTTGAACCCAAGACATTAAATAGAAATGGTACATTTTCAGGCCTTCTGACTGGCTCAGTTGGAGGAGGAGCATGCGACTCTTGATTTTGGGGTCGTGAGTTTGAGCTCCACGCTGGGTATAGAGATTATACTTAAATTAAAACAAAAAAACAACAACAAAACAACTTAAAAAAAAAAAAAAGGATACATTTTCCTGTTTGGGAACTTTTGAAAAACTTCGTTAGAAAATATGAATCAGTGGTTCAGGCATCATGTTGATGCCATTACAGGCACTATTGTTACAGGTAATTCATTAAACTAGACATTTATAATTAAAAGGAAAAGACGAGATGTCACAGAAGGACACAGCCATGTCTAGAAAATACGTGTGATAGAGCCACTTACACTTTGACAGCAAGTCAAGCAAATAAAGTTGAAGAGTTAGAATTTTGCATTTGGGGTCAAAATATTAATTGATCAACCTGATAAAATGTCTGTGAACTTCATAGGTTTTATGGGGCAGGACCTGGGTAATGGCCACTCATTCTAGATCTTTTACTTGATAACCACTCACTCTAATCTCATCCCATCAGTTGTCTTTTCTGTGTGGGAAGCCGGTTAATCATGTCAGTGGGGACGGGTGCCGCTGTGAGATCCAATTGTGAATTGAACTTTGTTAGTATTTTTGAGTTATTTTTAATGCTGCTTTAAGGGAATTTGATCCATTCTGTCCTGAGAATTTAGTCGGCACCTTGGAGACTTGCCCTCCTGCTTTACCTTATTCTTTGTTTGTTTCCCTAGGTTACCAAAGTGACCCAGGTAGATGGAAACAGCCCTGTAAGGTTTTCCACAGAGACCACTTTCCTAGTGGATAAGTATGAAATCCTGTAATACCAAGGAGAGGGAACCAGAAAGGAAAAATTTCAAATTAATAAAGAAGAAGCCAACAGTGGCTGAAGAGTTTTTTCCAAATCTACAAGCCATTGGAGACCCTTTTTTTCTGGTACAATGCACGATTCTCTGCGCGCAAGGACCCTCAACTCACCCTCAGTGTTTAAGTGTCACAGAGACGTTCTTTGGCAAAGAAAGACACAAACATAAAGGGAAAGGCTGCTGATTTCTTTGGCAGATTTCACTGGCCAGCAGGAAAGCACGCTCTCCAGAGAATACCCCCAGTTAAACAGCTTCTCTGCCTTCACCTCAGTCGTTGCTCCTTTGTTTTAATCCCTGAATATAGTTACATTTCGTACTTTGTTTAAAAAGTTTTCTTTCACATTTTATTTTTATTTTTTCCCCTCTTTTTCTCTTCAAATTTTGATCTTTCAGACTCTTTAACCCTCATTTTTTTTCTTTCTGTACATTCAATCAAGTGCTGGGATCATCTGTATATAGGCATTATATTCGGCACTCTTGGAAACAGTTGATCTAACCAATTCTCGATCTTCAGGCTATTCAGGCGAACTGCTTAAGGGGCATGAGGTCTAGAAGTTAAAAGAAAAGGACGTCCTTTGTCATTTTCCTATGTCCACTCATCCCTCCGTTCCTCTGCCAAGTTGTTTTCCTTCCAGTCCTGTCCCTCCAGTTTAGAACAGTACTGTGAAGCCTACCTGTGTCACTATTACAGATAGCTGAGAAGCACCTTTCAAATGGCATAGCCCCGCTTCAAGATGCCTGAGAGGAGAATGGTTATGTCCGGTTAGGGATTTCACATCCACAGGTAATCATGTCTGCTGCTGGTGCTACCCAAGCTTCTAGTTCTTTACATTTTGAGTACTTCAGCTAAAACGTGAGAGCTCATGGTCTTTGTGATCTACTCACATTGCCTCGATTTCACCACCTCCTTCCTCTTGGCTGTTCTGTGCGTTACCCGGTCCTTTCCAACTCTCCCTGTCTGTGAAATCCTTCCTTTTCCTCCCTTGAGCCTTTTCTCTTGCGTGTCCTCGTGCCCATCTCACCCATTACTCTTGCAGTGAAGAAGACTCCATCAGCCAGCCCCACTTGGGCTTTTTAACCCAGTATTGCACTTCGTATGCTGGCTGAGCTGCTGGGCTGTAGCCCCAGGAAGGGGGCGAGGTGGCTGACTAGGTGACCTGCTGCGCTTCCAGCTGGCTGGAGAGTACCACTCCCACTGGGGACAACATCTGGCCTCCCCTGCAAAGAGTGTGCTGTCCTCGAAGCAGAGCAGCCACACACAGATGGCCATGGATGGAATTGATTGCCAAAGAAATTTCTGGCCTTTCCCTTTCCCTTAACTGCATCAGGGAAGAATCCTTATCTCTGGCTTGGTTTCCACACGAGGTTTTTCTGAGGAAGGGGACTGGGACAAGAAATCTGTCATGTAGTTAAATAGGCAAGAAATCTTATTAATCCAGTTTTGTTTGAAAAAGTTGCTTGTCCATACGATTTTTTTAAAGCTGTTTAGTTTCACAACTTTTTTTTTTTTTTCTGAAATTACTTTTGGGGTAATATTTAAAATGAAAGACGTTTTGTAACCCTGTAAAATACATAGGGAATATAACATTCCAGTGTACACAAAGAAGGAAGATTCTTGAATCAAATAAAGAGTATTATAAAATGAATGTTTATTAGACTCTTGACTCTCTCATACTTTGGTGTCTGCTTGCTGATTTGAGATGATGTAACAGGATCTAAGTTTAAAAATTAATGATATGTTTTTTTTAAGAGAAAATAATCTCTATCTGAGGGTATTCATTGCCTTCCCGCATATTAACAGGTATTGTGCCACCTCGTGTATCTTTCTACATTTGAGCGCACACACATACACATGCACTCCTGATGGTGGAGCTTTTGAATTTGATGTTACTTACAGACTTTTGGTCTTAATTTTGTCAGGGGCAGTTGTAGAGTCAGAGACAGGAGGCTCCATCTTTAAAGAAGAACAATGGTTGGGGGCACCTGCGTGGCTCAGTCAGTTGAGCGTCAGACTTTGGCTCAGGTCATGATCTCATGGTTCGTGGGTTCACGTCCGGCCTTGTGCTGACAGCGTGGAGCCTGCTTTAGATTCTCTGTCTCCGGCTCTCTTTGCCCCTCCCCCGCTCATGTGCTGTGTCTCTCAAAAGTAAATTCACATTTAAAAAAATTGAAATATTAAACATTCCTAATTAAAACAAAAAAAGAACAATCATTGGTGAGTATTCTCTTCCCCATCAGAAAAACTGGTAAGACGTAAGTGATCCAGGGGTGAGTGATGAATGCTTTGGGAGTTTTGATAATTCCTTCAGAAAAGTCTTCATCCTTTCTTTTTATTTAACTTAGAAAACTATTGAATGTCAGCGGATTCTTTGGAAGACAAATTATTCTCTAATGAGTAATTAGTGTCTGGGAATGATAGAGTTTTTATCTTCACGGTGAAAGGCAAGATTCTGGATTTTTTTTTCCCCTTAAGAGAAATCCCAAGTATCTGGTCTGTGTTGCTGAAGTGTGGCTTGGCTCTCAGCCTGTAACCTTAATCGGGTGAAGCACACCAAACCCCTGTCACACCCCCTGACTGGCAGCTAATCCCTCCACGGCATCAAGTGGACTCTTTTGTTGGCCTCTTGTGAAGGAGACTAACAAACTAATTAGACCTGACTGAGCATTCTGTTTAATGTAGGAGGTTTGTGGTTCCTGCTTTGAATTAATTAATTCCACATAGAGGAGGTAGGGAACACACCTCTGTGGTCAGGAATTCCTTTTAAGAAAGATCTGTAATTCATCTACTCAGTAGTTTCAAACCTCCAAGTCTACCAACCCATGCATCTCAGACACAGGAAGTTTTACCCTCCAATTAATGTGAAGTTGTTCGCACTGTGTAGGATCTGAGAGATTTCCAGGGTTGGTGCAGAATAGGCTTTTTAAAAAAGTTCACGTCTGGTCTGGCTCGTCATCGGAGGAAAATAGAAGAACAGAAAAAGGTCCCCCCATCCTCAAGATTCAAGTCTAACCAGAAGCAATGGCTGTACCTACTTACAAAGCCTTTTTGTCCTAAGGTGGACAAGTGTTAACTACAGCTAGTGATACTCAGCATGGATCTCAGTGAGGGTTGGGAATAGGGTTCTGGAGTAGGCTTCAGAACAATCTCTCAAAGCAAAAATTCAGAATTAACTCTCCTTTACCATGCACATCTCACTGCAACCCCTCTCTCCCTCCGTTTCCTCTTCTTGCCCCTTTGGTAATATTGCACCTGTCGAGCTTTGAAACTCCAAGAAGATCCACCAGTAATCGGTTGCTGTACATTGCTCTTACGTAGACTTTGACAGCATTTCTACGAGTGTCAGTCTCCCATCTTAACCCCTGGGAGTTGAGTGGTTTACACGGAGGCAGACCTTTAGGAAGATTATATTACCTTTCCAAACCGAGCTCTTGCCTACTCTCCCACACAAAACGTCAAGCAACCAGGCAATTGTTAGAAGTTTGGGTCATTTTCCACTCCTGGCCCTCCCCCCACCCCAACAGGTTTTGTTTTGTTGTTG